ATAATGTTTGAATTTGTATATTTTTTTACATTCTATATAGAAATAGGGATTAGACTTGTGGTTTTTTGGAATGTGTAATGGTACAGTGCAGAATGTCCCTCTGCCAATGCTGAATGTCACCTTTCTAACTTATGATCTTAGAGAGTTGTCTAGAAGAATGACAGGTTAGGTGACTTGTCCAGGGCCATGCAGCCTATACATACCATCATGCCCTATGTGGATAGGCTAAGCCTTCCAAGCTTTGCAATTAGATCTCTAAGTACTATACTAAATTGTTTCTCCCCTTGTAGATTAGAAGTACAAAAGTATTTCTTGAATGCTAAATAAAGCCCATGGTAGTAGAAAGGAGAAAGAGAGATGTCAGAATCAGGTACCCCTTTATGAGAGTTGATGAGAGTATAAGAAATAAGCAATTAGGAATCAGAGAGCTGACGTAGCAGGTACAGTGATCAGAAAAGCTCAGGTGACCCATTACTATTGAAAGTTCTTAGGGCAGGTAGGTGGTACATTGGACAGAGCTCTGGCCTTGGAGTTAGAGGGACTTGAGTTCAAATCTGGCTTCAGATACTTGACACTTACCAGCTGTGTGACCCTGGGCAAGTCACTTAACCCTAATTGCCTCACCAAAAAAGCAAAAAAAGAAAAAAGAAAAGTTCTAGGGCCCAATGTAATAGACAAGTCAAATGACATTAGCAAGCTAAAGACCTAAGGTTATTTTTTTTAGATCAGGGAGTTGTGAACAGACTTGACATGATGTTATATGAGTACAAGAAGGAAGGAAGGAAGCTAGGAAGGAAGGGAGGGAGGAAGGAAGAAAGGAAGGGAAGAAGGAAAGAACAGAAGGAAGAAGGAAGGAAGGAATGGAGGGAGAAAGGGAGGAAGAGACAGAAGGAGGGAGAGAAGGAGGAAGGAAGAAAGGAAGGAAGGAAGGAAGCTAGGAAGGAAGAAAAACATTTTTTCCCTTTTAGTTATCTCTTACCTCAGTTCCTGCTCCATAAGGGAGTAACTCTTCACTCAAAGTAGCTTAAATGCCTTGTCCCACCTCCACATTGCACACAAAATGCAGCATAGAGTTGTTGAAAACAGTTTTAAGATTGAATATTATAATGTATGGTAATAAGGCCCTGCTTAGGGTGGTTTGGCACTGTGGAAAGAGCATTGATTCTAGAGTCAGAGCACATGAGTGCCAGTCTCAGCACTGATGCTTAATATCTTTTTGCCCTTGGCATGAACCTCAGTTTCTTTACTTGTTATATGAGGAGACTGAAGTAATTTACCTCTGAAGTTCTTTCCAGTTATAGATTGAGGGCCCTATGAATCATTAGAATCATTAGAGTGGGGGCCAAAATGAAAGGAAAAAAAAACAGAGTAAAAAGATCTTAAATATTAAAGTGAATATGAAGTAGTGTGATGGTTAATCAGTAGAAGGATGATGGAGGCCTGGTGGTAGTAATAGCAAACTAGAGAGTTATAGTATAGGAAATGTAAAATATAGCAGGAAGGGCACACAGGGAAATTGAGTCATAGAAGCAAAATACCAAGCATGAATTTTATATAACTATGAGTAGAGGACACATGTAGTAGTAATAATAATAGGAATAACAACAATAATAATAACAACAATAATAATAACTAGCATTTATATAGTGTTTTAAGATTTGCAAAGTACTTTGTATATGTTATTTCTTTTAATCTTCACAATAACCCTTTGCAATAGGTACAATTATTATTCCCATTTTATAGATGAGGAAACTGAAGTTGAGAGAAGCTAAGTGATTTTGAACTCTAGTGTTCTTAACTCCAAGAGCAGCACTCAAAGCACTGTGCCAACTAGCTGCCCTAGAAATAATGTTCTGTCTAATGCATAATGCCTTGACTAAGGCAATTTCCATTTGAAAAGAATTACCTTCTCTCCTCTCTACTCCCAATTTTCCATATTACTAATGGTTTGCCAAGCAGAGTATATAAAAAACTAGCCTTGGAGCAGGAAGATCTAGATTCTTATCTAGCCTCTGACATATAGTTTCTGAGTGATCCTAGGCAAGTCACTTAACCTCTCAGTGCTTACCTAAGCAACTAGTTTTCAGAGAAGCTACTGAGGGGAATGACCTCATCCAGGAGTACCCTCTATCAAAGAAATCATAGATCCAGTCTCAATACCAACACCTTCCATTATTCCTTCAAAGCTCTACCTTGGTTAGTGTTAAGGACTAAATTTGAACAGTGGTCAAAACAATGCAGTCCAATGTACGAAGTGACAGAGACATGGAACAGCATTCCCAAACCTGAAAAGCCTCATGGATATGTGTATATAAACATCATACACACATACAAACATGTATACATATAAATATGTATATATATTTATATAAATTTTCTGTACTATTTATGTGTGTACATGTATGAGTGTATACATGAGTATATATACACATGTACTCCCTATACTGTACATATGCATATATTCATATATGTGTATATACTTTACATATTATATATATGCTACATAGATTACATGTAATAGAGAGAATGCATATGTGTGTATGTGTTTATGTAGGTATATATTTAAGCATATTTATACTATATATCCTACTATATATTTTATATATAGACTACATTCTATATATAATGTATGTGTATATGTACATGTGCACATATGCATATGAATACATAATTTTGTGCATTTTCACAGATGTGCATATGTAAATATATGTATACATGCCTATTGGCATAACATATCTATATATTTTATTTCAATTAATATAATTTGAACTTTTAGTTATACTGTTTTATAAATGTTTCAAATTATTTTTTCATGATTATCCTACGAACAAGTCAGCATGGTTTAAAGGACATAACATCTGGTCTTGGAGTCAAAATCTGGGTTCAATTATGATTCTGAATTTTAATGGCTGTGTGACCCTACATAAGTCACTTCATGTCTCAGGTCTCTAAGACTATACATTTCAGAGAAGGTACTGACTGGCATTGGTAGAAGTTTCATCATCCTTTTCATAAGGATTTATTTTCAGCCAGGTGGAACTTAAGAGTCATTGATCCCCATAGTCTCATTTAACACATGCAGAACATATGATGCCCAGAGAGGTTAAGTAGTATGTGGCAGCACTGGGATTCAAATCCAGATCTTCTGATCCCAAACCTAGAAGCCTTTCTATTGCACATCACTTATTCCCATCTTTTCATTTAACAATTAGAAAGTAGGCTAGGATGTTTTCTGATCTTCTATTCCTTTCTAATCCCTGAAGTCTCTAGAGCAAAGATAGGTAAGAGTAAAAAAAAAAGTTTAGTATTAAATTGAGGATTAATTAATCTAATGGAGAATTAAAAGTATCTTTAAACAGAAATTTTAGTAGGATCTCCAACAGTGTTCTCCACTTTGCTGCTTTGCCACTTCATCATCATGAAGGTTGCTCTTTTCCCTACAAATACACCTCCCAGAAAACTCAAATACAAATGAAGACTTGTGGGAATTGCTCCCATTCTCTTTTGACTATGATGGTTGCTAATAACTAGATAAAGATACTACCACATGTGAGGCTTATAATACTCACACCTGATTGACTGGATTTTACTGCTATCACACAGCCCGTGGGACTCAGCTCAGTAAGTGACCTGGATGTGGTTCTGTGGTATTAACTACTACAGAACTACTTAGAAAATCTCGATTTTGAATCCTCATTTCTGGCCCATTTGTTTTCAGAATTCCCTTTACAACACCAATGGGACAAGATTCCTAGCATAATGACTAGAAAGAAATTAGATTCAAATCCATTCTATCATCTGAAAGCAACCAGTCCTTCTGAGACATAGATTATAGGATCACTGATTTAAATACAGAAGGGACTTCATGGTTCATCAAGAGAAGACCTTCCTTTTTGATAGAAAAAATAATTGGTGGAATTGGAATTTCAATTTAGGACTTTGGATTTTAGGGCAGCTACATAGCCCAGTGGATAGAGTGCCAACCCTAAAGTCAGGAAGACTCCTCTTAAGTTCAAATCTGGCCTCGTACACTTACTAGCTATGTGATCCCAGGCAAGTTACTGAACTCTGTTTGCCTCAGTTTTCTTATCTGTAAAATGAGTCGGAAAATGAAATGGCAAAGCATTTCATCATCATTTCAACAAAAACCTCAAATGGGATCCCAAAATGTCAGACACGAAACAACTGAAAAACAACTTTGGATTTTAATCCAGCACAGATTCTATGGTACCACAATACAAGTACATTGAAACTATGCCAAACCAGTGTCTGTATACTGCTGAAGGATCTTTAAGTGCCTCTCTAAGAAAGCACTTATGAGGGGTTGTAGAACAAAAAGCAATGAAATCTTTTTCCACATGCTCCACTCGAACAGAATCAGATGAAAAAATTCTCTGCATACTTGAAAGGAGTGGCCGGGGTCTGTAGAATATCCTTCTTTATATTGAACCCAAATCAGGCCAGTGCCCTCTGGAGACAAAATGAGCTGTTAGTCACTCACCACAAACAGGTGTTACAGTCATCAACCAAAGCAGGGCATTCGGCTTCAAAGTATTCATGGGTAAATTTACACACACACACACACACACACACACACACACACACACACACACGCACTTCTACTCATCTACTAATCTGCTACCATTCTCCTTCTAGCATGACAAATATCCAGCTCTCCCCAAGACAGCATAAATGGAGTATGTTCCCAAACTGGAAGATAGGGGGAAAAAAGGATCAAAACTTAATTTGGATGAATCTATGTTGAACAATATATTTCTAGAAGGATATAACAGTTTCTATGATTTTAGGCCATTCATTTATAATTGTGAGGTATAGTTCACACAGTCTAGAGATGTTTTTACTCTTTCCCTAGGGAGTAGGACAGAATTGTGGATAAACATAAGCTTCTCCCCTGTCACCCACCCCACCCCAGAGAAAGTATAGACAGGGTGCTGTCAATGACTGAACATATTTAGATCAGTTTATAACCCAACACTTACCTCCTCGGCATACCTGGGTGATGATAACCTTGGGTTTACCCCTTAGACTGGGGCAATTAAGGTTATTGAAAGTTTGGAAGATGGTATTAGTAGCCAGCACATCTGGCTTTTGCTTTTCATGCCTTGTCCCACAGATACCGTCCCAGAAGCCATGTGATATGAACACCAAAAATGTGCTATCAGAAAACCATTGCTCTGTGAGGTCACCGAATGCCTTCAACTCTGACTCCATTTCCTGAGAGACACTCAAAAGTTAATAATGAGAAGTAGCCAGCAAAATGGCAGGAGTTTCTTCTGCAAAGTCATCAATCCTTAAATTTCAAAAGAAAAGAATACTGTTCCAGGTACAAATTAATTGCAGCTGATTTCACAGGATAAGAAGACAGAACCTGACAGTCAGGTTGGATCACAACTGTGGGCTGCCCAAAATAGGGCAAGGGATGCCACTGAAGAGCATTCCTATAGAACAGGTATGTTTTTGCAGTGGGAGATAAGAACCTCCTGGGGCAGGGGGAGGTTAGTCAGTGGAGAGTTTGTAAATTGGGAAATGTGTTTTTCTGAGAGATTGTTTTGTTTCTAGGACACCATTCCACACCTGGAGAAGGAATATGTGATATGCTAGTGGGTAATTAGTACCTAGAGTTGTAGGGGAAACAAACAGCATAGCGAAACATGGTGTTTGGCATGGGCACTTCATAAGGATGCCAAAGGAATATAGCTTTCCTTATTATTTGAGAAATAGGATAACCACTACCTTAGGACACCGCTTCTATATGACATGAGTTGCTTCCTCCAGGAATTTATATTTTGTCTTTATTTTTCTAATAAATATAGGGGTAAATATGACTTCAGTAAATAAGGAATTGTATTCACTAAAGGAAATGTGAAGTATGGCTCCCAGAAAGCTAAAAGGTTGCATTCTGGATTTTTAAGCAGTTATAAACACATATACATTTTTTTTTGTTTTTCTTTCCAGTCAACCAATAAATTAGCATTTATTAAGTACTTAGAATGTATCATGTACTTACAACGGATCACGTATTGTGTACTGTGGAGAATATGAAGAAAGACAAAAAACAATCCCTGCTCCCGAGACACTCATAGTCTAATGGGGGAGTTGGGACAACATATAAACTACTATGTACAAACAAGACATATACAACGAACAAAAGAAAAGCATTAACGTTAAAGGTGATCAAGAAAGTCTTGTAGAAGGTGATGCTTTAGATGAAACTTGAAGGAAACCAGGGAAGCCAAGAGGTAAAGATGAAGACAGAGAGCATTCCAGGTATTAGGGCCAGAAAGTTAAAAATTCTTGGATTTGGGAGATAAAGTGTCTTCTTCAAGAAAAAGCAAGGAAACTAGTGTCACTGGACTGCAGAATATATAGGATGGGGTATGGTAGGGTAAGGGGTAAGAAAACTATAATGTTAAGAAGGTGTCAGGTTATGGAGGATTTTAAAAGTCATAAAAGGGATTTTATATTCGATCCTCAGATAATAGGGAGCCATGGTATTTTATTGAATGGGGATTGGAGAAGGTGTGATATGGTCAAACCTGTACTTCAGAAAGATCACTTCGATAACTTTGAGAAGGATGTGCTTAATGGGGAGAGACTCAAAGCAGGGAGCCGCAAGAGCCAGCAAACTGTTCAATATTCCAAGCATGAGGTGATAAAGGTCTGCAGCAGGTTGATGACAGTGTCAGAGGAGAGAAAGTTTAAGAGATGTTTCAAAGGTTGAATCAATAGGACTTGGAAACAGATTGGATATAGAGAATGAGAGAGGAAATGAACATTCAAGTAAGTACAGTGTTTCCACATGTGTAGCACCTAGATAAATCCTGCTGAAGCCACATAGGAACCTCATTCTGCTTTTACCCTTATGAACTATTTTACCAGTAATCCAGACTTCAAGGATATGTCTTGAGTTCATAATTTTGCATAAACAAAATCAATATTGCTAAAATAAGAAGGGAAGCTATTACTTGGTGGATGATATTTATATTAAATATCTCTAATATGGGTGTGATATCAATCATTCATATATATGTATATTACATGTAAACAGGTATGTATATTACAAATTCAAGGCCTCTATATTTGTGCTACCCTGTTTATATATTCATTTTATAAATATATATATATATACATATATATATATATATAGTTGTTGTTGCTGTTATTGTTGTTCAGTCGTTTCAGTTGTGTCATGATCTCATTTGGGGTTTTCTTGGCAAAGATACTGCAGTAGTTTACTATTTCCTTTTTTAGCTCAATTTATAGATGAGGAACAGGGTTAAGTGACTTGCCCAGGGTCACACAGCTAGTTAGTATTTGAGGTCAGAATTGTACTCATAAAGATAAGTCTTCCTGATTCCAGGCCCAGTGCTCTATCCACTGTATAATCATATATAAATATATAATACATATAAAATACAATAATATAAAATATAGTAATGGATAGAACATAAATGATTATGTACATATGTCACAAATATAGAGGTCATTCCCAGCTAGATAAGTTGGCAATAGAAATAAATAAACAGTTATCAAGAAAATTAGGAACTATTAACCACCTTATAAATGATTTCTCCAAATCACCATAACAAAAAAATGCAAACCAAAGACACTCAGAGGTTTTACTTCATATCCAGAAAATTGCCTAAGATGAGAAAATATGAGAATAACCAATGTTGTAGAAGCTGTGAAAAAACAGGCATATTGAGATACTCTTTGTACATCTCTGAATTGCTTTTAACTATTAGATAAAACAATTGAGATTGTTCCAAAAAAAAAAACAATTTATTATTCTAGGAAAGTGAAAAAAATGTCCATAAACTTTGTCCCAGAGATCCCAGTTATATCTATATCTATATCTATCTATCTATCTATCTATCTATCTATCTATATATATATATACACAAAGAAGGTCAAATATAGACAGAACAGTAAAAAAAGTGCAGAGATATTTACAGATGTACAGGAGTTTTGTTTTGTTTTTTTTTAAATTGGGGAAGAACTGGAAACAAAGGGGTGAGCAGTGATTAAGGATTGGTCAAAGTTGTTTCATGAATGTTGTAATATAAGAAATAATGTATACAAAAGAACTGAAAAAGTATAGAAACATGAATTGCTGCAAGTGAAATAAGCAATAGAAAATAATAAAATACATAATTTTACAACACTGTAAACTGAAAGAGTATCTGTCACAAAAAATGAAATTAAATATTGTATAACTATAATGACCAAACTGACCCCCCAAAAAAGATGAGAAATTATGCCTTTCCCTTCTTTGCAGATTTGAGTGACACAGTGAGTAAAAACATATAAGTTTTCAAACTCACTTTATGTATTAATTAATTTTGCTGAACTTTTCTTTCTTTCTTTTTCTCCTCTCTTTCTTCCGTTCTTTGTAAAATTTTATTGTTGATATTGTTATAGGGTATGACTCTTTGGCTAGTCCAGGGATTAGAGATGTATTTAGAAATGAAAGCAATATGCAAAGTAACAGATAAAACCTGAAAAAAAGGCTCTTAACTATGGATTCACTATGATAGGAAATATAAGATAAAAATGAGGTACCAGTGATGAGAAATGAAGTCATATGGATTGATAAAATAGACAGCAGAATTTGAATTGTGGTAATGAGGGAGGAAAACACACAAGGAAGTAGAACCAGAATGCAGGAAGCAAATATAGGATCGGGGCTTTTGGAAGGTGTCAAGAGATATACCAGGGGCAAGAAATAGTATTTATCCCAGATCCTGTAAATAACAGGGTCATAAATCAGTGATTCTTTGGGTCCCAATTCTTTAAGAGAACCATGAGGCTCAGATCTGTGTTAGGTCCTTTTAAAAACACATTGAAGTACATTAACCCAGGTCTCCATAACTGTGAGATTGGCCTGTGGTGATATACCAATTTGTGTTTATATATCTCTTGGAAAGAGTGAAGTGGGTGGTTTGCTGTGGTCCTTACCTGTGCTATAAGGTTTCCTTTGACATCCACATCATATCCCAGGTCCATAAGTAGTTTAGTCATTCCCAAAACATCATGTTCAGCCCCACTTCATTCAGGAAAGTGATCAAATTTAGTGTTACAGATGATGAGAGCCTGGCGTTTACAGACACCCTTTTCCATTATGGGATTATATCTGTAGGGAATGGATATAGGATGAGTTGACTCCATTTCTTCCTATTTGCCTCTTGAGCCTAAACAATGCTACTACCTTAAGTCCTAGAAAGACCTAACACCATTGATCTTCATGTTACTTATTGACCTGGGCTTGACTTAGCAATACTATGGGTAGAAATAATGTCTTATTTCAATTTGACTAGATATTGCTAATGCTTTAAAAGAGGCAGCTAAAGAGCAAAGTGGTTAGATTACGAGACCTGCAGTCAGGAAAACCTTATTCCAAATATTGCCACAGACAATTACTAGCTGTATTTGCCTGGACAAGTCATCCTCTCTACTTACCTTAGAGTCATCATCTATAAAATGGTGATACTACTGACTCCTACCTCCCAGAGTTGTGAGGATAAAATTAGATAATATGTTTACAGCACTCTGCAAACCTTAAAGCACTATATAAATGCTAGCTATATTATTATTGTTATTATTATTAATAATATTATTATTATTACTATTAATATTAATATTGTCATCATCATCAACATTCATAGGATTCACTGTTTTTCCTCTAACATGTTTAGGGCTTTCCAATAACCTTTTTCATACTATTCCCCTTTTTTTCAAAAACTCCTCAACCCCAACCTCCTCTACTCATCAAAATTATATATGATGTCAAGCAAAACATATTTTGGCATTAGCTATGTTCTGGGGGGGAAAAAGCAAGGAAAATAAAGGAAGAACAAAATATGCTTCAATCTGCATGCTAAGACCATAAGTTCTCTCCCTGGAAGTGGGTACCATTTTATATCATGTGTTCTTTGTAGTTGTGGTGAATCATTGTAATGATCAGTTACTAAGTCTTTTATAATGTATGATTTTTACAGTATTGCTGTTTCTGTGCACATTGTTTTCCTGATTCTGCTCCCTCCACTTTACATAAGGTCATATAATTCCTCCTAGGATTTTCTGAAACCACCCCCTTCATTATTTCTTACAGCACAATAGTTTTCCATCACATTCATATACTATAACTTTAGGCAATTTTAGATAATTTTAGGCCATTTTGAAAGCCTTCTCTTTCCAGAACCTAAAATTATGTGTGGACACAGGGCATTCTCTGCCTTGGGTGAGCAGTGTCTGTGTAACAACCAGGTAAAGAGGCTACTACTCTTCAGCATCACTGGTCCTAGGATCATTACTGGTTACTCCCAGAGACTGAGAGTGAAGGACTAATAATTTACTAAGTGCAAAGAAAGTACTCTTTCTATACTCAATCACAATCAGGACCTCGTGAGACAAACAAGGTTTCAACTTTCTGCGTTTTAATTCAGCTGACATTTATTAAGTCCCTAATGTGCAAAAGAACTAGGCTAGACCAAAATATACAACAAATAAATAACAATTATTATCTTCAAAGAGCCTACATTCTACTAGGAGATACATATATTCAAATAACTAAATTGTAAATTAAGAGCATATGCAAAATAATACAATGGCATTTAAAAAGAACCCTTGGTACTTAACAATCAATGTATCAGATGTTAAATATTTCAGTCCAAGTGCATATCCCCAGGGCTCTTCATTGGAGAACTCTTTCCACACTACATTGAACTATTAGTGACTATGTTTTGATACCCACCATTTAACTACTCTAATTCCATTTTCCCCATCTTTTTCTCTAAGCCTGTCTCTCTCATTTTATTCTAAGGAATAAAATGAGAAACCACATCAACTTTTATGCTAACACTTTGGTAAATTTTTTTCTACAATATCTCTGATATATTAGTGGAACAAGCTTTCAGCATAAAAGGAACTAAGTTTGCTCTGGGAAAGGGAAGGCTGGAGCCAAGATAAAAGAAGGAATTTAGCATTTCTGCTGAACAATCTCCAAAACCAACTCTCTAAATATCTTTTAATGCTTCAAACTGAACTCTGAGTGCAATAACAAAAAAGAAAGAAAGAAAGAAAGATAGAAAGAAAGAAAGAAAGAAAGAAAGAAAGAAAGAAAGAAAGAAAGAAAGAAAGAAAGAAAGAAAGAAAAATATATCAGCATCTCATTTTTTCCACCCCAGTTCACTTTAGAAGGACAAAAAGAAAGGTCTGTTTGGTAGCTCCATTACCTATACCCTTTTCTGATTCATAGTTCAAGGGAGGAATGGAGCAGTTTTGGTCAAGGGAGAACTGAAGCCCAGAGGAGCAGTATCACTTTTGGTCACAAGGGTTCAGGGACTCTGAAGAAGAGTATCATTTCCTGTCCCAAAGGAGTAGCGTCCTGAGGAACAGTACTGATTGCACACTCAAGGAATCAAGGGTTCTTCCTAGGTAAGGACCAGAATGCAGATCAAGAGAGCATTGACCACATCTGTTCCCAGAATATCCAACCTTGGAAGCACTGAAAATTTCCAAATCCCAGTTCTGCAAATAGCAGTACAAAAAAATCCTAAAGTTTGATACAGGATCCTTCCCCCACAGACACACGTGGGGAACAGAGCCCAGCATTAACATAATGTACAAAGTCAAGAAAGAAGCTGGAAAAAAAGAACCTGACCATAAAAATATGTTATGGTGATAGGAAAGATCAAAAAAGAAACTCAGAAGGAGTCAATGAAGTCACAAAAGCTATAAGCAAAGCCTCAACAAGGAAAAGAAGATGAATTGGACACAAGCCCAACAAAAATTCCTAGAAGAACTAGATATTGATTGTCAAAATGAAATAAGAGGAGTAGAGGAATAACTGGGTAAAGAAATGAGAGCAAGAGAAGAAAATTATGAAAAGACAATTAATAACTTGGTAAAAGAGGCACAAACAATTACTCAAGAAAATAACACCTTAAAAAACAGAATTGGCCAAATGGGGGGAAAAAAAGATGTACAAAAAGCTCACTAAAGAAAATAATTCCTTAAAAATTTTAACTATGGAAGTAGAAACTAATGAGTTCATGAGACATCAAGAAGCAAACAAATTCAAAAGAATGAAAAAATAGAAGAAAATGTGAACTATCTCATCAGAGGAATAACTAGCCTCAAAAACAGGTCGAGGAGAGAAAATTTAAAAATTATTGGACTATCTTAAACTCATGATAAAAAGTCATAATTTAAGAAATAATAAAGGAAAATTCCCCAGATTTCAAAGGACCAGAGGGAAAATTAGAAATTAAAATAATTCACCGATCACCTCCTGAAAGAGATCCCAAAATAAAAACTCCCCAAAATATTACAGCTAAATTTCAGAACTCCCAGATCAAGGAGAAAATATTGAAAGCAGCAAGAAGAAAACCAATCAAGAAAACCAAGGAAGCACAGCCAGGATCACACAAAATTTAATTCCTGCTACTTTAAAGGAGAAGCAGCCTTGGAATGCGATAATCCAGAAGACAAAGCATTAAGGATTACTAACAAAATAAGTTACCCAGCAAAAGTAAGTGTAATCATATGGAGGAAATGGACATTTAATGAAACAGAAAATTTTTAAGCAATCCTGAAGGAAAGACCAGAACTGAATAGAAATTTGACATTCAAATATGAGACTAAAGAGAGGCATTAACTGTAAACAGGAAACATAGAAGAGAAATCACAAGGGACTCAATAAGGTTAAACTGTTTACATTCTTATATGGAAAGATATTATATGTAACTCCTAGGAACTTTAACATTATTAGGGTAGTTAGGAGGAGTCTATATGGATGGAGGGCACAGGTAAGAGTCTATTATGGTGGGATGATCTAAAAAAAAATGGAAGACTTTACACTGGGGGAAGGGAGAGGAAAAGGTGGAAGATCATCTCATATAAATGAGGCACACAAGGAAGACTTTTTAAAATGGAGAGGAAAATGAGGGGAAGTGTGCAACACTTGAATCTCAGTCTCATAAGAACTGGTTCAAAGAGGGGATCAAAGGGTTCCAAGACATGGAGATGAGCAGGGAAAGCTTTACAGTCACAGGGTGCAGACTTTCAAAGGCACTGGGGCCGGATTTGTAAAAAAACAACATCAAATAGACCAATTTGACCAGAACGTTGAACATTTGAGGTGAGGTAATATATAACCTGCCTGAAAAAATAGATTAAATCCAGGTTACGCAGGGTTTTTTTCTTAATTAGTTTATATCTTATCCTAGAGATGATAAAGTTCTGAGCTGGCAAGAGACAAGGTGAGACCTTTACTTTGGTGATACCAATGTGGCATCTATTTAAAGGAGAAACTGGTGAATGAGGCTGGCTTCAGGGATACTGACTAAGAAGCTATTGGAAAAATCCACATGAAAGGTGATGAAAGCCCAGAATGCTTGCCATGTGAATATAGAAAAAAGACATTTAGCATCCCAGAGAGTATTCATATGGCATTGTGCCAGGTTTCTGTTTTCATGCTCTTTAACTGTCCTTGCTTCCATGTTCTGTATATCTCTTTAACAACTAAGTTAACTAAAAAGTTCCATATCAATCTATATTAGTTGCTTTAGAGAGCTCCCTTTCTTCCTCTTGATTAAAATTGGTTTTATTTGTGATCTCTTCCATCCCTTTGCAAATCCCTAAGTTATCCTGTGGCATTCATACCACTTACAAGACTGTCAGACACATAGTGGGTCCTGCTTAAAAACATTTGTTGAATTGAATTAAAAATTATTAGGATTTCATAATGGGAGGCATTTTTCTCTGTGTGAATGAAAGAGATCAGAACCCTGATCCCTAGGAAAGACCATATGAACAACTTTCTTTATCCTCCAGGTGATCCAGAGTTATTTCCAGGCAAAAAAAAAAAAAAACTTTTCAATTTCCTCATTCTCTATATTTGAGGAGGATTATTGCCTCTCTTTTTTTTACGCCTGTTCCAACATTGTACCTCTCCTTCCATTTTCTTCAAATCCTGGTAAAGATCTGGGGGCAGAGCTTGACCTCATTATGGAATTCAGGAGCCTCAATTGTCAGGGGAACTACAAGAAAAACAATCCCAAAAGTTTATGAGAAAGATTATTTCCTGACCTTGAATTTCTATGATATTCTATATTCTTAACTTTTGTCATCTTGGGGAAATGCCTCTGTGAAGGGTAACATATTCATCTTCATAAGAAGAATTGAATGAAATGAGAAGATTTTTCTTTAAAACTTACCTGGAAGACATTTACACCATATTTTCTTTTACCTGGTGATACAAATACTGTCCTAGGGTGATAAGGCAATAATAATACTTTACACTTTTGTAATATTCTGTAGCTTTCAAAAAATTCATACTCATTATTTCATTTGATTTTCCCAGTATTCTGAGAAGAAAGGCCATGTGGAAATTATTAGTTCCATTTTACAGGTGGGTCAACAAAGGCTCCATAATTTTAAATGAATTCGACATAGTTAACTGGAAGAAGACACTTGATTTTAATCCAGGTCTTCTGATCTTTTGCCCAGGGCTTTTTCCATTGTGTTACACTGCTTGTCTGAAAATACTCCTGTATTTACTTAACAATTCATTTGGAAGGTCACAGATCTGAGAGTCAATGTTCGGTCTTAGCTTAGAACAGGGGTGAAGAACCTGCAACCTCAAGGCCACATGTGGCCTTCTAGGTCCTTGGGTGTGGCCTTTTGCCCAAGTCCAAGTTTTACAGAACAAATCCTTTTATTAAGGGGATTTGTTCTGTGAAGTTTGGATTTAGTTAAAGGATTGCACTTGAGGATCTAGAGGGTCACTTGTGGCCTCAAGGCTGCAGGTTTGCCACCCCTGGTTTAGAGGAGAAAGTACCTGATGAGAAGGAAGCCACTGTCTGTGGCACCACTTCCTTCTCTTTCACCTCCAAGCATTCTTCTTTGTCTTCCTCTTCTTCTTTTTTCTCTTTTTCCTTTTTTCCTCTTCTTCCACTTTTTCCCCTTTTTCTTCTTCTTCCTTTTTTTCTGTTCTTCTTCCTCAAATTCTGAAGAGGAAACATAGGAAAAGACTATGAGTATCTTGCATCTTTCTGAAGGATACTCTCCAAACTGCACCAAAATCTCCTTATTGAGGACTATTGAGTTGAGATTAGCCTGGGAGCCATGGTTCCTCTATAAATTCAAGCTCATTTATGAAGTCAGAATCTGCCAGCTCATTGAATGAGAAAGTAAATTCTTTTTTTTTAATTCTTTTTTTTTATTTTTAGTTTTCAACATTTACTTCCACAAGATTTTGAGTTCCAAATTTTCACCCCATCTCACCCCTCCCCCCACCCCAAGATGGCAAGCATTCTGAATACCCCTTCCCCTAGTCTACATTCCCTGCCATCTCTTCCCCCCTTCCCCTTCTATTTTCCTGTAGGGCAGGATAGATTTCTGTAACCCATTTCCTGTATTTCTTATTTCCTACTTGCATGTGAAAACATGTTGTTTTTTTTTTAAACGTGTTTTTAAAACTTTGGGTTCCAAATTTTCTCCCTTCCTCCCTCCCCACCCACCCTCATTGAAAAGGCAAGCAACTCAGTATAGGTTATATATGTGCAGTTACACAAAACACTTCCATAGTAGACATGCTGTGAAAAACTAATTCTATTTCCCTATCCCGCCCCCCCATTTATTATATTCTTTCTTTTGACCCTGTCCCTCCTCAGAAGTATTTGCTTCTGATTACCCCCTTTCCCAATCTGCCCTCCTCTCTATCATCCCCTTACTCTCTTATCCCCATCCCTTCCTATTTTCTTGTAGGGTAAGACAGATTTCCATACCCAATTGAGTGTGTTTGTTATACCCTCCTTAAGTCAAATCTTATGAGAATAAGATTCACTCATTTCCTCTCACCTTCCCCCGGTTCCCCTCCACTGTAAGAGGCTTTTCTTTTCTGGTTTTTTTTTTGTGAAATTATTTACCCCATTCTACCTTTCCCTTTCTCCTTCTCCTAGTATAATCCTCTCTCACCCCTTAATTTTATTCTCCAGATATGACCCCTTCATCTTCAACTCACCGTGTGCCCTCTATCTATCTATCTATCTATCTATCTATCTATCCATCCATTCATCTATCTATCTATCTATCTGTCTATCTATCTATCTATCTATCTATATATATACATATATATATATATATGTACACACATACAATTTTTTCCCTTCCACTACCCTAATACTGACAAAGGTCTCATGAGTTACAAATATCATCTTCCCATGCAGGAATGTAAACAGTTCCAACTTAATAAGTCTGTTATGATTTCTCTTTCCTGTTTACCTCTTCATGTTCCACTTGAGTCTTGTATTGGAAAGTCAAATTTTCTATTCAGCTCTGGTCTTTTCATCAAGAACGCTAGAAAGTCTTCTATTTCACTGAATGACCATTTTTTCCCCTGAAGAATTATACTCAGTTTTGCTGGGTAGGTGATTCTTCTGGGTAGGTGTAATCCTATCTCCTTTGCCCTCTGGAATATTATATTCCATGCCCTGTGGTCCCTTAATGTAGAAGCAGCTAAATCTTGTGTTATCCTGATTGTGTTTCCACAATACTTGAATTGTTTCTTTCTGGCTACTTGTAATATCTTCTCCTTGACCTGGGAATTCTGGAATTTGGCTGCAATATTCCTAGGAGTTTTCCTTTGGGCATCTCTTTCAGGAGGAGATTGGTGGATTCTTTCCATTTCTATTTTGCCCTCTGGTTCAAAAATATCATGGCAGTTTTCCTTGATAATTTCTTGAAAGATGATGTCTAGGCTCTTTTTTTGATCATGGCTTTCAGATAGTCCAATAATTTTTTTAAATTCTCTCTCCTGGATCTATTTTCCAGGTCAGTTGTTTTTCCAATGAGATATTTCACATTGTTTTCTAATTTTTCATTCTTTTGGATTTGTTTTACAGTGTCTTGACTTCTCATAAAGTCACTAGCTTCCAATTGCTCTATTCTAATTTTTAAAGAAGTATTTTCTTCAGTAAGCTTTTGGACTTCCTTTTCCATTTGTCCAATTTTGCTCTTTAAGGCATTCTTTTCTTCATTGGTTTTTTGGACCTCTTTTGCCATTTGAGTTAGGCTATTTTTTAAGGTGTTATTTTCTTCAGTATTTTTTTGGGTCTCCTTTAGCAAGCTGTTGACTTGTTTTTCATGATTTTCTTGAATCACTCTCAGTTTTTCCTCTACTTCTCTTACTTGCTTCTCAAAATCCTTTTTGAGCTCTTCCAAGGCCTGGGACTGATTCATATTTTTCTTGGAGGCTTTGGATGTAGGATCTTTGGCTTTGTTGTCTTCTTCTGGCTGTATGTTTTGATCTTCTTTGTCACCAAAGTAAGATAATATAGTCTGACTGTTTTTGCGCTGCTTACTCATGATCCCGGCCAATTACTTGAGTTTTAAACTCTTTGTTAAGGTAAAAGTCTGCTTCCAATGTGGAGAATGTACTGTCCCAAGCTTCAGGGGTTTGTACAGCTGTTTTCAAAGATAGTTCTAGGGATCTCAAAATTTTCAGTTCTTCCAAGGTGCTATGATAAGGGGCAAGGTGTTTCCTCTTGACTGCCACAACAAGCTCCACCACATCAGCATTCCTCCTCACCCCAGGACCGCCCCTCAGAACTGTGACCCAGATCCAAGCACTGGTAAATCAAGAGATTCCTGCCTCAGCACTGGCAACGAGATCCCGGCAATCCCCCTCTGATCAGCCACTTGATTCCACCTCAGTCTGTGGGCTGGAAGCTCAGGAAATAGCTGCCATGCTGGAGACTTGCGGCTAAGACCTAGCTCCTCTCTCACTACAGTCACAGACTTTTCCCACTGACCTTCTAAGTTGTCTTTGGCATTCCTAGGTTGAGAAGTCTGAAAACCACCACAGCTGCCTGCGATTCAGTCCTGAGCCCTGCTCCAGGGTTGGTCACTGAGGCCTGCGAGTCCATGCCAAACTATGCTCCTCTCCCCACCCGGTGAGATATACCATTCCAATCAACCATCCAGGCTGTCTTTGGCTGAAAATTTGTTTCACTCTGTCTTTTTGTGGGTTCTGCTGCTTTAGAATGTGTTTAGAGCCACTTTTTATAGGTATTTGGAGGTGTTTGGGGGGAGAGCTCAAGCAAGTCACTCTTTCCCTCTGCCATCTTGGCTCCACCCCCCCATCTAATTTTTCTAAAACTCCCTTTTGTCATCTATAAAATCAGGAGTTTGAATTAGATGAACTCTGACTTCCCTTTAAGTTCTAAATTATATTTACTTTCTTGTTTTACCTTTTCTAATACAGTAACAGTTAAAAGCAAGAAGAAAGAATTAAGAAATATAAATTACAATATGATTTAATTTATTTCCAAAGACCAAAGAGAAAGACGCTCCTACTTAATCATATAACAACAATAAGTTTTTGAAAGCCCTAACATTTATGTAACATTTCACCTAATCACAGAATCATAGAATTTCAGAATTGGAAGGCCTAATGTAATCTCTGCCATATACTCAACAAGTGACCATGCAACTATAACATAAAAATCTTCAATGGACCAGAGCTTTGGATAACTTTGATGATTAGGAAATTTTTCCTTACATTGCATCAAATTTTTCCTCCTTCCAAGTTCAATCCATTTTTTCGTATTTCTACTCTCCAAACCCAAGTAGAAAAAGAAAATCTAATCCCCTCTCTAGGCGACAGATCTTCAAATGTTTGAAGCATTTGACAGAAGAAAGATATCATGTCATTTCCTCCCCTCTAGTCTTCTCTTTTCCAGGTCAAATGTCCCTAGTTCCTTCTACTGCTATTAATGTGGAGTGAACTTGACTCTTCATTATTATGGCAAACTTCCTCTGGATATCCTAGAGTTCATCATGGTCCTTCTGAAAATGTGATGCCCATAGCTGACATGGTGACCAGGGCAAAGCACCATGTTAGGACTGGTATAGCATCATTCCTGGACACTATACCTTTCTTCACGTGAATATTAAATTAGTTTTCTTGACTACCATAGCAGACTATTAACTCATATTGAATTACCAGTATACTAAAACTCCTACATTTTTTTAAATCACTTTTTATCTAAAACACACTCTTATCTTAGACTTGTAAGGTTGATTATTTGTGGCCCAGTGCATGTATTTATCCCTATTAAAATTTTATTTTTTAGGTTAAGATCAACATTCTAACCTGTCAAGATCTTTTGTATTTATTTATAGTACATCCCCACACAACAACCCAGTAAGATAGGTATGCATTATTATCATTTCCCCTTTACAGAGAAGGGGAAAAATTAATCAGAAAGATAAACTGATTTATCTGTTTATTTCCTCCTCAATCATGATTCCTATCTCACTAATTTTTAATTACTTCGTTTCTGCTTATTGTCTCTATATTGCCTACAATGCTTATGTCTTCCCCATCCTCTAAAAACCATCCTCTCTAGCAGTTATCATTCCATATGTCTCCTCTGTTTTATGGTTAAACACTTTGACCAGGCTGTGTACAAAATGACCTCCACTTCCCTTCCCCTCACTCTCTTCTAAACCCTTTGAATTGTAGATTCTGAATTCATCAGTCAAAGGGAACTGCTCTCTCCAAAGCTTCTATGAACTCATAGTAACCAAATCTAATGGCCTTTTCTCAATCCTCATCCTTACTGACTTCTTTGCAGGCTTTGACAACATTTATCACACTCTTCTTGATACTCTCTTCTCTGTGTATTTTTATGGACTGTTCCCCATGACTGGAAATCTTTGCCTCCTTTTCTCTGCCTCTTGGCTTTCCTTGCTTCCTTTAAGTCTCAGCTAAAATTCCACTTCCTAAAATAAGCTTTTCTCAAGCACCATTATTGCTAGTGCCTGTGCCTTGATTATACACGCATACCCACACTGAGACTCCAAATCTAGTGTATTTTTTTCCCGCTGTACCACATACTACTTT